GCTGGCAGAGCTTCTTGGGGGTTAAATTCTGCCATACCCAGGCCCACAGAGAACTGTATCAACAGAGATATTTTCCATAGAAACTCCTCCAATTCCACTTCATCCTGCCAGGCCCTCACTGCCCCCTGCTCAGGGTAACAGCTGGCTGCAAGACCCCCAGCTTTGCCTGTGCTCCAAGTGAGACCAAGCCTTTAACCAAAGCCAGTTCTGCTGCTGCCTGCAGGGTGTTATTCTGTCAGTAGTGCTGCTCCTTCCCAGCAATGGCTGAGTCTCAAACCACTCTGCACCCTACGTGCATTTGCTGGGCTGGGCCAGAGGAGACTGGAGAGCAAAACTGTGTGCTGGGGCTGGCAGCTGCTGGGCATCCTGCCCCCACTCTTTTTACTTTCTGCAAAGCCTGTGGAAACTTTTAGGTTCAGATTTCTGGAAAATTCAATATTGATGCCTATCCTTTTTCTCTGTGCAGTGGGGCTGGATTTCACTGTGAGCTCTTACACACTAAATTCTTGTAACCCCTAAGGAATATGCATGAATAATGAGGTGTAGCAAGCCATTTAGAGTGGCACCAGACACTTAATGGCCTCGCATAACTTCGGGGTGTGATGAAAGCATCTGACTTCTGACTAATTTAATTCACAGTTCTCTTAGTGCCTGACAGAGCCCAATCTCAGGGTCTCACCCTTAGATATGTGTATAGGAAATGAGCACTGCAAACCCAAATGGCACCAGAAATGGCAGAATTGTTTTCTTCCCACTGATCACTTACCTGTGCAGAACAGCTTCATGCTGCAAGGTGGAATAATGATTCTCAGCTGTGTAAAACTCCACTATATTTCCCTTTCAAGAGATTGCATAAGTGCTTTGATAACGTGGGAAATCCTATAACAGGGAAGTCTTGTCTTGTACAGGAATTGCCACACTGAGGTCCCATCTAGTCCTATACACCACAGCCTGCAATACCTTTATTTCTGAAATCCAGGAAACCCTGCAGTGGACAGCCATGGAATTAGCAATGTACAGCTGAATGTATTTTTGGCGAGATGTTAATTTCTAAAAGTACCCTTTCCAAGCTTTGTTATTGCAAATCTGCTATTAATCTTCATTAGTACAGATTCAGTGCTTTTGGGAGCTGTTTAAATGAATGATACTTTTAAAACTCTTATGGTGGAGCAATTAGAGAAGTACTGGTTTTCTGATAAAAGGATACACCTGAATGCTATTTTTTTATTATCAGGGGAGGGAGAGGAACCTGGGCTTGGTATTTGAGATTCTGGGAAACAGGGAAGCTTTTCACTCTGTTGTGCTTTGGACTTCTTTTGTAACTATTGTGAAATCACTTGAATTTGGATAGATTCTCACATTGCTGTGACTTGACAAATTATTGCAGACCACTGAGTCATGATCCCTGTCTTGATGCAGGTGCTCAGCTCTCCCTTCATGTAAGGTCTTGTTGCCTTAGCATGCAATAAGGGAAACTTCACTAAGCTGGGTCTGACAGCTCTGCCCTTGCAGAGAGGTGAGAGCCCTCCCAGGGGTGGCTCCTCCAGGCTGGGTGCTGCATGGTGGCTTACTGGTGCCATTGGCCACTCTGTAAAAAGTGACATAAATTCACATTTGCCTGACCCTGTGGCTGCATCCAGATGCAGGAGGGCCAGCCTGAACATAAGCCAACAACAAGCCCTGCATGGCTGGTGTTTCTCTGTGTCAATCAGCTGAACTTTGTGAGTTGTAGCTGTGTGGGTGATCACAGAGCTTGGCCTTGGTGTGACTCCACCTCTGCATTAGGAAAGGTCACATATCCCCAGGTTAATTGTGAGGAAAAGTGCAGAAAATATCAAGCTCAGAAAATGCAAATTGTACTTTAATCTTGCCATGAAAAATTCATCCCTTACCCACTGTTGGCTCACAGGATAAGAAGCAGGCCAGAATAATTTCTGGAGGAATTTGAATCGAAAGTAGAGTTCTGATTTGGTTGGTTTGTTGGGTTCCCTTACACCCCCGCTCAGATTTTACAAAACTAAAATCCTGTAACCAACACCAAGCACTGGCACACAGTGATCATCTTATTCAGAAATTAAGGTAAGTGCTTTGCAAAGAAAGTGTCAGCTGCTATGGAAGGGTAGAGCTGAGCCTGGATTTAAGAAAGAATTTGCTGTATGTTCTTCTAGGTCGGTGTGTTTTATTGTCAGGCTCACTTGGAGGAAGCATTGGGTAGGGACATGGGAGTCCTGAACTGTAAGATTGGTGGCTGCTCCAGATTAGGTAGATGACCTTAGAGAAGGCACATCCCATCCCTTTGTCTCCATTTCTGGTAGGTAATTACATCCCACTGCTGTAAAGAGCAGTGAGACCTTCCAGCAAGAGGTATTATTATTATCATCTTTATAACAAACATATCACATGCTGTGTTAGCACCACAGGTGCTGCAGCTCCAAAGGCCTGGAGCCTATCATGGACAGGACACAAAAATTATCCTCAAGCCATCATCCCTTGCCTTCCAGTTCATTGCTGTAAAATGCAGAGAGACCTTCCAGCAAGTGGTGTTGTTATTATTTCTATAATAAACATACCATGCACTGTGTTAGCACCACAGGTGCTGCAGCTCCAAAGGCCTGGAGCCTATCATGGACAGGACACAAAAATTATCCTCAAGCCATCATCCCTTGCCTTCCAGTTCAACCTGATTTCCTGGGTATTTGTATGGGAACGAATGGGCTGGGCTTAAGTGATACACAAGTTAGCTGAGATCATGTCTGGGGAAGACAAATGTTAAATAAAGATCACCAGAGTCACGTTTGGTTTCCGTAGTGATACTACAAATAGCAAAAGCAAGCCAAAGAGGATTGCATGAGCATTGAAACTGCTTCTCTCCAGTCCTGAGGATGTGACTCTGTCCACTTTGGCATGCAGGTGTAGCTTCAGGAAAGCATTAAACGTGACCATGGCAGGAGAGCAGCACAGATGGTGCTGAGCCCCCTGAGCCTGGGGCCTCTTGCTCTGCGTGTTCTCCCGTCTCCTCGAGATTCAGAGATGCACAGAGGAGTTTGTTGTGATACTTGTTCTCTACCATCCCACCCTGTAAGAGAAATTGAAAAATAACACTCTGAGAGTCCACAGTCTGGTAGGGTGTAGATAAAGTAGAGTGAAATTAGAAATATGGAGGAATGAAAGCATGGATAGATGGCCTTGGTCTATGTCTTCAAGAGGTTACAATAACATCATATCAGCAATTGTTATTTCAGTACAATTTTTATTGATTTTTAAATATTTGTTGTTGCAAACTCTGCTCAAAGTTGCCACTCTACTGGAGAAAGTAAGACAATTTTCATGAACATCTGCTTTGATGGTTTGCATTTTAAGCAAACCAATCAGGAGACTTTATGAAGAGACATTATCTCCAGTATAGCCACTTACAGATAGGGGGAATGATGTGGAGTTGACAAAAATGAGAAACTAGTGATTTCAAGTAATGCCAAGGCTGGTAAGTTTTCAGTTGCATTTCTTTCCATTTCGAGGTGATTAGAGAACAAGAGAGATCGTAGAGAATTTGGGGAAAAAAACAGATCACTCCCATAAAAAATCCTTATTAAAACACCCCCAGTGTTGGAGGATGCTGCCAAGGAGTTGGATGGGCTAGTGTGAACCATGCTGAGTACCAAGTCAGAGACCTGAGCTAGCTCTGAACAAACTGTTGCAGCTGTGTCACACAGAGCATGGGGTCTGCCACGTCAGCCTGGCCTGGCAGCAAATGGCTTCTCTGTGTCTTTCATCAGTACTGATTCCCTGATGGGTTATTCCACATTCATCTGCTGTGGGACTGTGCCAGCCCCACGTGGAAGCTCCCTCAACATGAGCACTGCTCTCTGTGATGTGAACGTGGCAGGGAGAGTTTGGCCAGCAGAGATGAGTGAGGGCAGTGACAGTAGCTGGGCTTGTTTGGGTGCAAGTCATCAGCACGTGGTGAGCTAAGTGGTAAAACTGTGAGGTCTTGAAGAATAAATTCTGTGCCTGATTACACCCCAATTCATAACAGCACAGAAGGGGAACAACACTGGGTAGCAGCACTTGTGACTCAGGCTGATCTGTCGTTCACATCTTTGTGTGCTCGTGTGCTTTGTAGCTCCTCCTGCTCTTGTCTTGGTGGATGTATTAATCATCTCTTTGTTGTGAGACTAATGAACCTATTACCAGAAATTCTGATGATGATTTGGGAAAATCAATTAAATAAAGAAAGACTGTTAGCACACTACCTTGGAAGGTCACTGGTAACATAAGGAATTATTTTCCTCTTGTCAATGGTCTGGCTGGAAGCTGTTAATGTCATGCAACACTGTGCTGCATGAAATGAGTGATGTGGAACTTGCCAAGTTTTAATCTAAGGGCTGGTGTCTGTATCAGAAACCTTGCCATGCCAGTGAACTTATGGGAGAGGTGGAAAAGGAGAGAAAATAATTTTTATACAATATTCACGTGATTGGTGTTTTAGCAAATTCTCTGGTTTTTTATATGAACTGAAACACCAGCAGTGCAGCTGTGGGTGTTCAAACATTGGCTGTTCTCTGCCACTGCAAGTACAATCCAGGTATATTAGGCAGGTGACCTGTGGAGATAAGGATGTTTTCATGCTGCTGCACAAGGAACTGGTAAAATATCTGGAAATGGAACTGCAGTGCATGGTAGTAAGGCTCTGCAAATTATTTGAGTGCAGGCTGGCAGTGCTTGGGCAGTTTTGTAGGTCTGAGCAAGCAACTTGGACTGTCAAAGCAAACAGCCTCCCGTGTTGTTTGTCACAAAGTGCCTGTGGAGGGGTGACCAGAACACCCTGTGCGTGCCAGGGAGCGCTGCCCTGCGCTGCCTTTGAAGGTGCCACAGAGCTTTGGCAGGAGAGCCAGGAGATACTGCAGGAATGCCCCAGGGGCTGTCCTGCCAGCCTAGGGAAAGAAGGGACAAGGGAGCCACCCAGATCAGAGCTGACTGAGCTGCTAAGTTCTCTGAGGCGACAGCTGCAGGACAACTTCCCTGGAACCTGGCAACTTGGCATCCTATTTGGATAGTCTGCTGGGCTTCCTGTACACCTGTGTATTCTCACTGAGCAGCATGAAAGCATTTTGGCAAGCACCACAGGTAAAAGTTCCCTCCTGTTACTAATATTCTTGTTCCTGCATTTTAATTTAATTTCCCGTATCATTCCTTCTTTTTCCACTGCACGTTTCCCCTTGAAAGCTAAGATTGCACAAACGGATGGATATTTTTTCTCCCCAGGTGTATGTAGCCTTTTCTGCTGTTTGAAGAAATGAACATTTGGGTTGAAGTGCACCTGCAATTCCCATTAATGTAGCAAAGTGAAACCAGTCCACTGGTGGAAGGAAATAAGCTCTGAACTCCCTTCCTCTGACAATGGATCTGGTGAAAAAAGCCCCATAAGATGGCAAAGAAATCTGCTTTCTATGCCTGGGCAGTTTGTAGGGTGTGTGGCTGCTGATGGAGCCTGCATGCCATCAGGAGCTTTGCTCTGGACAGGAATGCAGTGCAAACACACACAAATTGTTTAAGTATTTAACTTGTACTGGTATCACCCAAAGATGTGTGACCCAGATGGAAGAGCTGGAAACTTCTGCAAATGAAACTGTGTTTGTGGAAGCTGTATAGGTTGTAGGAAAAGGAAAAATGAGGGGATGGGGTGAGGGGGAGGAAGTGCCTTCTTGACTTTAGTTCTTCTGCCAAGTGGTAGGAGGTTAGCAAGCAACTTTTGCTGTGGTTGTTTATGTCCTGATCAGCCATGCAGGGCACTTTACATCTTACCCCGCTGTTGCATTTTAGGATTTCTGTTTGGATAGAAATGTGTTGCATACCAGTGAAGAAAGCTAAAACAGAGAGGAGACACACAAAGAGGAACAGTGGTAATTGTGTTGCTTAATAATGCAATGCTGGGGTGTAATTCTGGTCTCCCAATCCAGCAAAAAAAAAGTTAAATTGTCACAGAATCTGTGCATGAAGAGCAAGTGGAAAATAAAAGTTTTAAATAGTTTAAGTCCAATATTCCAGTCAAATTATTCTTAGCAAAGTGATTCAAGTTATTTATTAAGAATGCGTTTTGTGAGGAAATAACTCCTCTGTTTTGTCCTGGTCTATCTGTTCTTTCCCAGTATACTTGGTTTTTGCCAGATAATTTGGACAGGCACAGATGTAGCGTGCTTCTACTTTGCTCATGTAAGCTGATCCTCCTTTCATGTTTGTGGCATATCCAGATGATGGAGTATTTTCCTCCTTTCTGAAAGGAGTGACTGAAGTGCTGTGAAACTGCTGGTAAGGGTCACAAAAGAAAAGTTTAACTTGGGTGAGAAATAAGACAAAGTCTCCAAATAAGACCATGGGTTCCAAGTGTGTTGCATGCTGTGTGCTGTTAGAGGATCAAGTCTTGGAAAGTTGCTGGGGACAGCAGAGGAGGAGGAAGGATGCTAATGCTGTGCCATGCAGTGTATAGCCCTTCCAGCAGGGCTTCTCCTTCCTGCTCTCTTAACAAGATTGTGAAAACCCTCCTGGTGTTTAGGTATCTTGCTGGCTCAGGTTGCTAAAGATAAAACCAGTGTGTAGGACAAGGTTTCTCTTATCCAAAAGGTGGATCTATTTTGCTTCAGGTACTGCAGGAGCTGACTCATGAGGAAAAGATGAAACAGTTCAGAAAGGAGATGGCACCAAACTGATTGCAGACTGGCCACAGAGAGTCTTTTGCAAGAATTGCAGGAAATGGGAATCTTCAGGCCCTCCACCTATGGTATTTCTTCTCTTGTTCTGAGAGCATGAAGGCTGTATGTGTCCCTTCAATCCCTGGCAAGGCAGCTCATGTTGGTGAGATTCTATGGAGGAGCTTCAGCCCCAGTTTGTCCCAAACAATTATGTGATTGCTCCTTATTAGGACCTGTAATGTCCTTCTCCTGCTTCAGCCATTCCTCTCAGACCTCTGCTGCTGACAATGCCTCAAGATTATTACATAAAAGAGCTGTGTTCTCAGCTCTTCTCCATGGTGGGGGCCTGTGAGATCCAAAATTCTCTTCCCGCTCTCCTCTCTGTGTGCAGCTGGAGGGAGTGCTGCCTCTCTACCAGCTGGAGCAGATCAACACCTTTTGCCTCACACCTTGTATCTTTTCCAAAGGAGGGGTCTTCGTGCTTTATGCTGGCACATCAGCTGGGGGCTGAGTTCAAGCAGCATTGCACATCTCCATGGTGGGCAGCAGCCTCAAGAACCAGCTGCTGCAGCACTTACCCTCTTCTGTGCAGAACTCCAAACACACTTGCATGATAGTCTTCTCTGTGTCAGGCACCCAGAGGATTTTACTCTGATGTAGGAAGATAACACAGTCTTTGTGAGTGATAGATATGATGCACATTTGTGTAGTTTGAATTTCAGCATCTCAGCATTTCATGTGAAAATAGACAGAAGGAGCAGAGGAGGCTGCAGCAAGGGAAGGAAAAAATGCAGAACAGAATTTCAGCCTGAAAGATAGCTGGATCCAAACTGTGGTTTTTCTTTCCTTTTTCTTTCTTTAGAATAGGAAATGAATCCCATATTCCAAACTGTATTCCTCATATGAACCAGGAGTAGCAGTAAAGCTGGAAGGGGGCAAAAAGGACCAAACCTGGGCCTTCAAAGGTCAATGGGAATTGGGGCTAGTGAGTGCAGGCTGTTAAAGGCAGCATTCCTGGTATCTCAGATTGCTGCTCACTGTTGCATTGGCTCTCAGTTGCAGGGACTGATGCAGCAATGCAGTCTGGCTTTGCAGTTTCTAGATCAGGGCAGTTGCACACCCCAGCAAGCCAGAATGGAGGATCTGAAAAGAGAACAGGAGAAACGAAAATTGAGAACAAAAAAATAAATCACACAGTCCAACTGCCAAATGTTCCCAGGCCACAATTGTCTTTGGCACCTCTCCACCCCCCAAGGTCTCCAATGGTTCTTGGGCTTCCACCACGAGAAAATCAATGGTTTAAAAATACAATAATTAAAGAAAATCTTGATGTCATTTGGGTTTGGGAGTATTTGGACATTAGTGTTGTGTGAGCATGTTTGCTCATGTACACCCTGCTTTGCTGAAGCCTGAGCTATGCAAGGACTGAAACCTTCTGCCCTGGGGGAGAGGAAGGGTGTGCCCACCTGTTCTCACTCTGAGAATCCAGGAACTGGGGGATGATAAGGCACTTTTTGTGGAAGAACTTTTAAGGTGACAAGTCCCCCTCTTTGCTTTGTGCCAACCCCACCCTGCTGACCTCCAGTGCCCTGGTTCCTTTGCAGGGGTGAATAAAATGTGTACTACACTCATGGCATGGTGACACAATCAGCTTGGTCCAGGTGGAGTTGCTTGTGGTTCCCCCAAAGGTGTTCAGGAGCAGAAAGGTGATGGGGAGAGCTCTGTTTGTGCATAACTTGTGGAGCAGACCCATGCAATGTGCTGACCTAGAGCCTCACCCATGGAAGCAGGAGACAGCACGTTCAACAGGATCATTGCTCTGCTCTACCCAAGACAGTCTCAGCTGCAGGGATCATTCTTCTTCCTGTCTTCTTTAGGGTTAGGATGTGTGCTGTAGCCTGAAAGTGTTCTTACAAGATGAATGTGTGGATGGCTCCAGCATGCTGCAGTTGAACTGAGATCAAACCCTTACCCAGATCCAGTGGTGGGGATTTTGTGCATCACTGTAACTCCATTGCTTCAGCTGGTGTAGTTGAGCTGATTTTGGCTAAAGTATTCTTCATTTTCTTCACTTTTCTTCACAGTAGCTGGAGTGGGGCTGTGTTTTGGATCTGTGCTGGGAAGTTCTGAGAATTCCAAGGATGTTTTAGAACCCTGTTGCTGAGCAGCACCTACACATAGCCAAGGCCTTTTCTGTGTCACCTCACCCCAGCAGTGATGGGGCTGGGGGTGCATGGAAAGCTGGAAGGGGACACAGCTGGGAGAGGTGACCCCAGCTGACCCAAGGGATATTCCAGAGCATCTGACATTATGCTCAGCAGGAAGCTAGAGAGAAGGTCAGAGTCAGGCAAGGCTGCTCAGGGAGTGGCTGGGGATCTCTCAGTTGATGGTAAGCAATTGTTTTCATTTGTATCACTTGTCCTTTCTGAGCATTATTTCTCTCATTTTGTTAATTTCCTTTTCATTAAAATTTATTATTGTTATCCTATTTTAATTATGAAATTGGATATTAGCTCACCAATTTTTTTACTTTTACCCTTGGAAGTTCTTTTTCCCCTGCTGGGGTCAGGGAGTGAGTGACTGTGGTGCTTCATTCCTGGCTGGGTTAAACCATGACAGCAATGAGCAAAGTGAACACACAGGAACAGCCTGGGCTTAGAAAAAAGATAGAGACCTGCATGTGCTTTAAAAAAAGTATAGATTTTTTTATTGAGAAATGTGGGTCTAAAGGTTAGAAAATCCTGCTTGCACTGTTGTAGACTATTTCATCATTTCAGACTGGTGTCCTGCTGGCCAGCAGCAGTTAGATTCTTTACTTTTTCTCTGGATGAAGTCCCAGAGGTGGTATTTTATTAATGAGTAAATTGCAACTCAAGTCCAATTTATGACAGAATACTTGATGTAGAGGGTGCTGAAAGAAAACTAAAGAAGTGAGCCTTCAAGAAACTATATTGTATAAAATATTGTTTCTCTGCAGATTGGTCTGCAGATTTATGTGCAGTGATGCCAGACTGCACACACATACACTGACTGTTCATCAGGGATGGATGCTGTACACCAGCTGTTGGTGCCCAACATGCAATTTTTAAAAATTTTTAACTCCCTAAAAAGTTATTAAAATGACCTCACTAATTACAAAGGAATGGTATGAAGAACAATTTAAAATGTCAGTTAGATATTTGCTATATCAAATGCCAAGCCACATAGCTTTGCTTAATGAAATCAGTTTCCAGTAGAGTTCATAACATCATCAATGACCTAAGCAGTGCACCTGACAGCTTGCCTGCCATCTCGAGCTGTAAATCTGGGTAACTAATGGTATATCGAAGGAGAAAAGGTCAATAAATGCAGAAATGTGGAGAATCTAATCTTTCCCTGGCACTTATTATTCCTCCCTTCTCACTCTCCTTTCGTTCTATAATCTGTCACATTAAACTA